GCGGTCCTGGGGCAAATGTTTGTTGCCGAGACCATTTTTTAAATTGTAGTCGACTTCCTTTCATTTTAAAATTGTAAACTTCCTGCTGACTGCGAGGACTTTTAGAGCCCGATTGATGGCTCGGTACTTTCAGGGCTTGAACATCGCCCGCAGTTTGTGAGTGACATGTACGGTCTCGAGGGCGACATTAGAGTTATTCAAAATATATATCTCTTATATTTAAACGTGTATGGAAAAGATTTTGGCTTGATTTGTAATTAAACTGCCCTCTTACGCAGTTCTGAATGAATGAGCTGACGCGCAGGCGCACTGCCTGGGTGTGAGAGTCACATGATGATGTATTTAAAGTTTCTCCGTGTTTGTGAACAGGATCCAGACATTTGTTTACTGTCTGCAGTTCCCCTCAATAATAAGGGTTGGTCTTTGGTTGGGGTGTGGGGTGGGAGGAGAGAGATAGAGAATTAAAACCAAATGGCTTTGTTTGCTCTGTTTAAGGTTCCTAATTTGAAGTAGTTCTTTCTCCAACCCCCCCCCCCCCCCCCCCAAATATTCAAAAGTTGTTGACATCAGGGAGATGTTAGGAAAGGAAGCTTAAAGAACTGAGTGACGCAGGTCGTAAACGCATTCAAGATATTCTGAATAATCAAAATAAACATGTCCAAAAGGTTATACTTGGATTACAAAACTTCTGAAAAAGGGACTATTTTTGCAAATTGTGCAATTTAATAAATCACTGGCAGGCTGTATTAGGAAAATGGCTAAATGTCTACTGGTTTAAAATGGTGCTGCATTGTGTAACTGTTTACACAATCGAGGCTAAAAATTAAAATGAATGGATATGATAATTAATAAAATAAATGTTCAAATGAATTAAGTAATACCTAGTCTATAGGTGACCACACATTTTAAGTTAACTTGCCTACCATATTATTACCCATTAGCAGAATTTAGAGACTTTTTTTGTGTATCATTTTTCTGCACATCAAGTCTGCACCGACCCTCTGAAAAGCATCCTATCCTGACCTAGCTTTCCCCCCCCCATCTTATAGCTAACCCACCTCGCCTGCATATCCCTGGACACTACAGGACAGTTTACCATCGCCATTCTACCTAACCTGCACATCTTTGGACTGTGGGAGGAAACATGAGCAACCAGTGGAAATGCATGCAGACAAGGGGAAAATGTGCAAACTCCACGCCGTCACCCAAGGTTGAAATCAAACCTGGGTCCCTGGCATTGTGAGGCAGCAGTGCTAACAACTGAGTCACTGTGTTGCCCTATTATCCCATAAGTAATACCAGACCAAATGTTTTATTTTCATTTGCCCTTTATTGTTTGATTTGTTCAGGTATATGAAGCAAAGAAAAAAATAGTTTAAGAAAAGTGGTGTTGTTCGGTGCACTTTAAAACCTAATTGCACCATATTCGACAATGTGATTTTTATTTCAAGCTTTGTTCTTCTTTATCCATCATCCTGAACTATTTAGATAGTTGCTGATTCTGAATGTAATTTTGTTACAGGGCAGGTCCGAGGTTTGAGTTGCTGGATTCTGTTATTCTGCATCACAATCTAACTGGCTAGCTAACTGACCCCTACAGCAACACAACCAACTTTTTGTCAATTTAGTGATTTATACTTGTTTGTAGTCTGGGCAATTTCATCAGTACCCTCTATAAACAATTGTAGGATTGTTGACATAACATCTGAATTTGCTTCTCTGCATATGTGCAGAAGCTGTTTCTAGTTTCAGGGGTGTAATAATGGCATATATTGATTGTTTTGCTGTGATTACTGTTGGATAATCTGAGCCAATATTTGAGATGAACTGTCAGCATCAATAGGAGTACTGCAAAGACCAGAAATATAAATTTCTAGAAATATTTAGCATTTGGTTAAAATAGACCTGATAAACAAAGTGGTTTAATGTTTCAGCTGCTGAACTTTGAAAGTAGAAGAGAAACAAACCATCACGTAACTAAATAAAGTTGAAGAGGAGAAAACAGCAAATGGAAATCAAGTATTTGAATTGGTTGATCCCATTATTAACAAACAACTTGTGGAATAAACAAAAAGAAAACCAAAAAACTTAAATTCTCTATTGGTTTGTAATTGGCTGGCTAAGTCACCATTTGATACAATGTGTGGTCTTCTGTAAACCTTAAATAGATAGATTAAATTAAAAATGTATATGTACCTGACTTGTTAATTAATCTCAATGCAAACATCCTTTTAAAATGTCAGCCTGGATCAATGTTATTACATATTGTAGGGGAAAAGGAAACAATTTATATAAACCAAAAGAGTTGACTTTTGCATTTGAAATCATTTCCTTGGTTACCTTTTCAGAAAAGAGTTAATTTTGCAGCCGTTTGAAAATTAAGGCACAAAACAACCTCTGTATTAAATGTAGAAGTAAAGGTACAAACCTGAATAATCTGATATAAATTGATTACTGCTGTGTAATGCACATGTCCTCTGGAGCTTGTATTGGTCATCAAAGTAGCTAGTAGATTTATAGACTAAATTATATGCAGTTTGTAGACTGTGTTTTCAAATACAAATGTGTGTGTGCAGTCACGTGTGTTTGACTGAGAACTGAATGAATCTTTGGTAATCTTAAATAAAAGGGAACCCTGGGGGTAGTAAAAGGTTGATGGGGTGTTTGTTGTATAATAGTGCACCCATACAATTATCAAACTTACCACTGCTAGTGTCTATTAATGCCAATTTGCTTTGGCAATAACAGCATTATGACATATGTGGCAACATTTTTGCAGTAAAGATGTAATTTATTGCATTTTTATTTTGCTTCAAAAAGTACAAATAATTGTAATTTGTTTTGTGCCTGGTGGCTTCTCCAGTGGACAGTCCAGACAACAGTTAAGACTCCAGAGTTAATCTGTATGTATAAGTAACAGCAATTCAGGAAATAATTCAAGGGAGTGATTCCAAATATGAAAATTAACTCTTTTGGCTTATGTAAATGTTACTTTTCTTCTCCCCACAGAATTTACTGAGATAGATCCAGGCTGACATTTTAAAAGGTTGTTTGCATTGTGATTAATTAACAAGTCAGGTACATATACATTTCCAATTTAATATACTTTAACTGTATCTATTTAAGGTTTACAGAGGACCACATTTACATAATATGGTAACTTGGCCAGTCATATCATTATCACCCAATAGAAAATTTAGGTTTGCTTTCAATTTATCCCCCAGGTTGCTTGTTAATAATGGCATCAACCAATTCAAATAATTCATGCAAACTCCTTTCATGGTTTTACTGGTGCATATGTTGTGCCTATTTTAGAGCAGGTGGCCAGACAATGGCATTTTGGACTGAGAAACCAACTCCTTCAAATAAGAGCAATTCAGTAGTTTTCATAAATCATAGATCATAGAACCCCACAGTGTGGAAACAAGTCCACACCGACCCTCAGAGCATCCCACCCAGACCTATCCCCTATAACCCACCTAAACTCTACATCCCTGAACACTATGGGCAATTTACCTTGGCCAATCCACCTAACCTGCACGTCTTTAGACTGTGGGAGGAAACCGGGTCACCCGGAGGAAACCCACACAGACACAGGGAGAATGTGCAGACACAGACAGTCACCTGAGGCTGGAATCGAACCCCGGTCCCTGGTGCTATATTAATCCATTCTTTTGTCCTATTTGTGTCTTCTTTGACTTGGAGGTTTTAAAAGTGCTGCTCGTGATGCTGTCACCTTAATGGTGAATAAAAACAAAACCATAACATTAATTAACTGGCTTTACTTTGTTGTTCAGTATCATAAACTGAAGGGTTGATGCAATTCCTTGTGAAACTCCCAAATCAGTACTTTGACCTGCAGTATATGTCATGCAATAGTAAGAAATGTGATAAAGGAAACTCCTGAATGAAAAACGAAATGCAGCATTTAATAAATCTACCTGTGTAAGTGATGCAGGAAATCTGACACTTGTGACCATTTCAAAACACTCATGGTTACAATAATGTTGTTAGATGTATATTAATCAAGATTTGGAAATTATTGCTCACTGACATCACCAAATATGTTCAACTGATTTAGGAAACAAAAATTATTTAACTCAGAATTCTGTGAATAATTAGGTTGACGCAGAATGGTTAGATGGAGATGCATGGCATATTCACACACTCAAAGTTCACATGGTTGGTATAATATGACAGAATGTTTATTAAAGCAGAAGGCAAGTTCAGCAATAATTGTTTTACAGGTGTTTTATGCCTGAATTCCCAGTTCTCTTTACTCATACTGAATGATATATAACATCATCTTGGGCCAACATCTGATCACTAAATTAGAACTCAAGACTCAAGTTGAGCTGCATCTAAATTTTGCTGTAAATATTGTGTAATATGCCATAGATAGGAAGAATATTTGTAGTGAAAGTACAAACCACAACTGTCAAGATTTTGGATTCACAGTGCTGATTGCTGTTTATCATTTCTTACTTAACTGAAGTACTGCCATGTGGGAGTAAGGGAGCAGCTGTACTGTGGATGGTGATTCTGAATAAATAACTTGGAGACCCTGTCTCAGCCCATCGTGAATCAAAGGTCAATTACTTGAGCTGGCTTCGCTAATTTGCTCATTTTGTTGTTTAATGTGTAGGTGGAGTGGAATTACATGTTGTATGCTTTCCCTTAACACAACAGCTATGCTGACCAAATACATGTGCCAAAGGGTAGCTTTGCTAAGTGATCAATTTCCACATTTGGCAACCCTGACTCCAAAACCCTGTGCAAACATTTTTTGGAGCAAGACCATTCAAATTTGTCTTTCAGGTAGACACTTAAAGACAACATTTCCAATCTTCAGCTGATTGGTTTTTGTAAAGTTTGCTTGTTCCAATCATTTATTAGATCAGAATTTTCAATGTGTGCATTAATGTTTATTAGAAAAGCCATAAAAATAGTGTAGGAGATGAGCTGAATTTTAAAAGAAGCACCAAAATCACTCATCCAGCCAATTAGATAACCAGGAACAACATCCATCTCCAAAAGCAAAACAGCTGTGCTACATTTTTATCAATTTGATAAACCTTAGTGATAGAGGGTCTTGTGGCACAGTGGTAGTGTTGTCGACCTCTGGGCCAGAAGATCAGGTTCCAATTCCCACCTGCCCTGGAGATGCGGTATAACATGTCTGAATAGGTTGATTTAAAATAACAACTTTACTGACATACAGAATGTTTTACTAAAGTATTTTAGTGATTGGCATGGCTGTGCAGGCTAAAATACCCAGTTTGGAATGCCTTGTTGGAGGTTCTTTTTAAAATTTAAAATCATTCAAGCCATGTGGGTGTCACTGGCTGCGCCAGCGTTTAGTGCCCATCCTTAATTGCCCTTGAGAATTTGTGCTGTTTCATTGGTGATGCTTCTTTTGAATTTTCATACGCTTTATAATTTTATCAAAATGCACACTATTGTTTTTATTAGATTTAATAAAACTTGATAAATAATTATCTGGTGGGTGTGGAAACTCAACATCTGATGAGAAACTTCCTTTTTCCGTACAAATCTGATCAGATCAACCTCATTTTCGTTGGGGCAAGAATTGATTTTCTATAACTCTAATCTGTCTTTCTTTAAAATCTTTCATTAAAGATATACTAGCTTTAAACAACAGTCCTTGTTGTTAGACAATCTGATATTGATACAGAAGGGAGAGACCATTACAGTGGTTAGATTGTTAGTGATATTTAGATGTGCCTCATTGCAAGCTTGAATCCATTTTGTCTCCCAGTAATCTTTGAGCCATATGTGCAGGAAGATTTACTGCAGCATGTTTTGGCAGATGTTTTGTTTGGGGTGGGGTGGGGTATGAAAATGTGACAAGAAATGGGGAAGTTTAGTGAAATGAGGAGAAACCATTTTGAATCTTTTGTAGTCTGCCATTTTTTTTCTTCTCCTGTTTTGTAATCAGTGATGTCTTTGTAAGACTGCTATTTGTCATATTAAAATTGAAAGGGAGAAGATGGAAAAGTTAGAGAACTGAAAAAAGAGACAAAACAAGTACAATAATAAACTCAATGAGCACCTGTAATGTGGCATCTGTAGTGTTCAGCTCAATTTTATCTTTGAATATCCTCTTGAAATGTGAGGAAAAGTGTTGATTTTTAGAATGTGAAGTCAGTGGCAGGATATCTTTAAGATATTTGCAGTCTATCAAACTAGAAATCACTCATAACTTGTTCAGTATTTTGTTTAAAAAAAGCATCATCGTTACCTCGGTGGGAGTTTTTAGTTTGGTATAATTTACAACTTTGTTGCCAAGCTATTGCTGCACATGTGAGTTTAGTAGTTTTTAACTTAAAACTAAAATGTGTATACCTTAATTCTTGTGGGTTTTATTACTATAATGTTTCTCCTATTCACTAAGATAAATTGTCAAATAAGGGAAAGAATATTAAGAAATCTGAAACTGCCTCTCATAGAGAAATATTCTTACAGTAGTCTTGAGTCTGAGGCATGACTTACTATTTACATTGTACTAAGTTTTTATGAAATGCAGAGCCATATAATTAGTTTGTACATATTCTGTTAGGTATTGTATTTGATACATGGGCAGAGTTCCTTTTTGCCCGTGAGAAGTAGCTTTCTTCAGCGTCTTTCCTCTCCAGCATCCTTGAATGCATTGTTGGCACCAAAATCCATTTCCATTTTTCCTGAATGCCATGCTTAAGTTCTTCAAATCATGTTTCCATTCTGTCACAGTCCTGAAAACTCTTATCCAAGTCACATATAGCATCCTGTGTGATGGTGATAAATGCAAACTTTGGTTGACTACACTATTTTCCAAATCCTTTCCATTGTTGTCTAGCTAGTTTGAATGTTCTTACTCTGTTCCATTCTTATCTAATTGTATTTGCAATGGCTTCTCTTTCCTACTGATGTACTGTTACCTCTGACCCCCAAGGATCTATCCTTGGTCCCCACCTATTTCTCATCTACATGCTCCCAGTGGCAATATTATCTGCAAGCTCCTTATTAGTTTCACATATGCAGATGACACCAAGCTGCACCTACCACAACCTCTCTTGGCTCCTTCACTGTTGCTAAATTATCAGACTGCATATCCATTACTGAATGAGCAGAAATTTCCTTCAGTTAACTCAAGGATCTGTTTTGGGGCCACTGCTGTTTGTCATTTTTATAAATGACCTGGATGAGGGCGTAGAAGGATGGGTTAGTAAATTTGCGGATGACACCAAAGTTGGTGGAGTTGTGGATAGTGCGGAAGGATGTTGCAGGTTACAGAGGGACATAGATAAGCTGCAGAGCTGGGTTGAGAGGTGGCAAATGGAGTTTAATGCGGAAAAGTGTGAGGTGATTCACTTTGGAAGGAGTAACAGGAATACAGAGTACTGGGCTAATGGTAAGATTCTTGGTAGTGTGGATGAGCAGAAAGATCTCGGTGTCCATGTGCATAAATCACTGAAAGTTGCCACCCAGGTTGATAGCGTTGTTAAGAAGGCGTACGGTGTGTTAGGTTTTATTGGTAGAGGGATTGAGTTTCGGAGCCATGAGGTCATATTGCAGCTGTATAAAACTCTGGTGCGGCCGCACTTGGAGTATTGCGTACAGTTCTGGTCACCGCATTATAGGAAGGATGTGGAAGCATTGGAAAGGGTGCAGAGGAGATTTACCAGGATGTTGCGTGGTATGGAGGGAAGGTCTTATGAGGAAAGGCTGAGGGTCTTGAGGCTGTTTTCATTAGAGAGAAGAAGGTTAAGAGGTGACTTGATAGAGACATACAAGATGATCAGAGGATTAGATAGGGTGGACCGTGGGAGCCTTTTTCCTCGGATGGTGATGGCTAGCACGAGGGGACGTAGCTTTAAATTGAGGGGTGATAGATATAGGACAGATGTCAGAGGTAGGTTCTTTACTCGGAGAGTAGTAAGGGCGTGGAATGCCCTGCCTGCAAAAATAGTAGACTCGCCAACATTAAGGGCATTTAAATGGTCATTGGATAAACATATGGATGATAATGGAATAGTTTAGGTTAGATGGGCTTCAGATTGGTTTCACAGGTTGGCGCAACATCGAGGGCCGAAGGGCCTGTACTGCGCTGTAATGTTCTATGTTCTATGTTTTATGTTCTATTAGGAAGATTGAAGCCATTGCTTTTTGTCTCCAGCTCTAAATTCTGTCTGTCAGCTACTGACTCCAACCTTTTTTCTGGCAGTACTGTTTGCAACCCTGCTGTCACATTAGTGTGAGAAATGAGGTACCAATCTCATTTATGCCAGTAGTAAGACTGCCTAGTTCCAACTTTTGTCTGGTTTTGGCCCTGATTCAACTCATTAGCTGACAAAACCTTTTCGTGCCTTCATTTCCTCTGGACTTGATGTTCTATTGCACTCCTGGGTGCTTTCCTATATGTACCTTTTTGTAGGCTTGAGGTCTTCTAAGACTGTTGCGCATAGCTCAAGGGGATGAGATTGATTGGAAACCGTCATCCTTGCTGTCACTGACCTACTTTGGCCCTGCTGGTCAGGCAGTGTCTTGCTTAAAAATTCTCATCCTCATTTTCAAATCCCCAAGGCCTTACCCCTCCCCTACCTATGTTTGCTTGCAACCCCATAAATCTTCAAGGTATTTTTCTCCCCTGCCCCTCTGTTTTTGCCCTTTATCCCTGCTTTTCATTGCACCATCATTGGTTGCTGTGTCTTCATTTGCATTGGCCCAAACTCTGGTAATATGTCTGTGCGCACTCTTTCCCCTCTACTTCACTTGTCTCCTTTTTAATGCCTTTCTCTTTGACCAAGTTTTTGGTTATCTGACCTAATCCCTTTCTGTAGCTCAATGTTATCATGTATTATGCTGTTCCTGTAAATCACCTTGAGGTGTTTTATGATATTGAAAGAGCATTATAAATGTTAAATTGTTATCAAGTGATCTTTATAGTAGTTTAACAAGGCTATTTCAGAAATGAGGAAAAACACAGCTGGTGCAAAATAATATGATTACCAGCAGCTCAGTTGACATCTCTGCCAGCTAGTTTTAATTGGTATTATTAGTTATGCTGTATTTTATGAATGGATTTCAAAAATAAGTGAAAAAAAATTGTTGGAAAGAAGAATTTAATAGTATACGTCATTCCTAACAGTCAATGTCTTTTTTCACTTTCTTGTAACAAAATCAATATGTGTGTCAGTTGGAGAAACGGAGAAGTGCTTTTGCCGATTTTAGTGCTATCATCTTTTTTTTTCTTCCACCATATTTTGTTATTTGTAAATTCCTTGTATGACTACAAATTCCATTTTACGATTCCACAATTGATTACCTGTCTTTAAAGAGAAAGGAACCTTCAAATCTCTTACACACCTATCTTGAAATTTACTTCTGAGCTGTTCTACAGTTCGTTATCTGTCCGTGTACATTTCCTCACCTAATTAACAAATTGCATAGTTCATGCAAATTTTGTTCGTATTGCAAGTTTTATAATTGTACAAGCTTAAGACCATTTATTTCTTTCCCTATTAAATGTATTTGTGAAGGGATAAACTATGCATAACTTTAATCTTTTGTGCAATTTTATGTTTCCACACTTATGAAAAGGAAACCACATATAGTAAGGTGGAATTACAGTTACAGGTTTGCCTTGCCTGGAGCCATGATCCTCTGCTCTGAAATGTTCCTCCACCTGTAGATTATGCTGGCACTTGACTTGCGATGTGTGAAGTGACAAGCTCAAATAGCCTGTTGTGGGCGTGTGTGTGATGGTGGTGGTGGGTGGGGGAGACAAACCTGAAATTCTGTGGTTTTGCTGCCATCAACCATCTGTCGGAATGATTGGTTTTAGAATGTTCTATTCATTTTCTGCACTATTACTGTTTCCTATTTTCTCCATTTGAACACATCCAAATAAATTCTCAAATTTGATTTGATTTTTAGATATAGTTTCCTTCTCAAATCTGAGCCACAAGTATAATATTTCTAAATATTTCATATGTTCATTGCCTTTTTGTTTTGTTCAAGTCAACTGAAGTCCAATGGAGTAGCATGGTGTGGGACATGAAGACGAAATGCACACCTAACAGAGTGCAGAAAGTTCAGTTTGTAGTCGACAAGAGAATTTCTGGGATGGATGATTCAATTGAGTTATTAAAGTGTAATGAAGATTTACCTTCATCACCGAGAAATGCAAACAATGACCAGAGTATGGAATATGGTGAGCCATTTCTAAAGAATTTGAGATGTTTTTGTTGTACTGTATGTTGATCCAGTGTTTTATTAGGTAAATTGTCAAAAGCTGAAAGTTTGCCCCTACTTATGAAATATGATATGAAATCAAAAGCATTTAGTAACAAAAAAGCAATGCTGAATTTGTATAAACCTAGTAGCTTTAAGATCATATGCACTGAGTTTTCTGTTGTGAATGATTTTACTATTTTATGTATGGTTCCAACACATGCCTGCTTTGTCTTTTGTACTGTAATATCAAGCTGAGTTGAGTTTCTAGGCTTCACTTATAATAATTTGCTTTTCTTACCATTCTTCTTCAAGAAAACATAAGGAATAACAAAAATGAAGTAATGTGTACTACAGTGTATTCACTTCATTCTGAAAAACATAGTTGAGAGATTTTAGGAGCATAACTATCATTGTAATTAAATTATACTGTTGAACTACTGAACACTGGAAGATGAAAGGTATTATATCTAGGTAAAAGGCAGGGGAATTTTGTTGAAAAAGCTGTCGCAAGCAAAATGCCCTAACTGGCTTCCATATATAGCAAATGTTACACCAGATATTCACAGCCTGTTAATGGATTGTTCCTGCTGCAGTCCCAATAGATTTAACACATATAATTGGTAAAGTAAAAATGTAGGTTTCATTGGATAACTGGTTAAATTTAAAAACACGGCTATCAAAAAGAGAATAGCATTTTTATTAAATTTAGGTCTAGTTTAATACCTTCTAATTAGAGATTATATGGATTAGATTTGAATTTCTGGCATAGTTTCTGGATATTTGGTCCAGCTGGTCTATGTTGTTCTTTAAGCACCAAACAAACATGCTTCCCAACCAACATGATGTAACCATATCAACATTTTGTTGAATTTCTTTCCTTCGTGTGTTTACCCAATTCCCCTTTAAGTGCATCTTTTTTTTTTATAGAAAGAGGTTTCTGCATTTGGATTCTGATATTCGGACATAAGTTCTTTTGACCTTTTGCATGGGTACAGAACTTCGACTTTGTTCTCTCCGACAATTTGGTTAAATCACCAAACACTGAAAGTTCTTTGTTTTGATGTCAGTGTCTCATTTATTATGGAAGCAGAAAATAATTTCAGGTGTGTAGTGTAAGCATAAATCACTTTTAAGTCAATCATTGTACAAGCAGATGCAGAGTAGAACTCCCTAAGTCCTAATCTAATAATAAAAACCAAAAGAACTACAGATGCTGTAAATCGAGAACAAAAACAGAAGTTGCTGGAAAAGTTCAGCAGGTGCGGCAGCATCTGTGAAGAAAAAATCAGAATTAACGTTTTGGGTCCAGTTATCCTTCCTCAGAACTGTAATCTAATAATGTCTTTTCAGGAAAACTGCTCCCAAGCTACCACTGTGACACCTTTACACCTCCAGTAACTCTGTCACTCTTCTGAATGAGATTACTAATTAGTCCCTGGCCATGAGCAATTTTCTAATATAGATAAATTGATATTGTACAAAATCATTTTGATAATCGCGTGACTGCGGCCTTTCAGTTGTTTCAGCGGCGGGAGTCCGGGAGGAAGCGCGAGGGCAGCCTGGGAAGGTAAGCTTTTCGATTATAAAAGTCTTACCTCGCGTGACTCCATTTTTGGAGTCAGTAAGTGAGGTAATATATTTGGGCGGTTGCTTTACCCGAAACACTACCTAGGTAGTGTCTCCCACCCCTCCTCCTCCTCTAACCAAAAAAAAAAGGTTCTGAGCGCTGATTTGGTAAGGCTACTAGTTTTTTTTTAATTTGTCTGTTTGGGAATTCAGAACAGTGGGAATGGATGTTAGGGCAGTTGCATGCTCCTCCTGTAGAATGTGGGAGATAAGGGTCACCACTAGTGTCCCCACTGACTTCATCTGCAGGAAGTGCACCCAACTCCAGCTCCTCGGAAACCGCGTTAGGGAACTGGAGCTGGAGCTGGATGAACTTCGGATCATTCGGGAGGCTGAGGGGGTAATTGAGAGGAGTTACAAGGAGGTAGTCACACCGCCGGTACAGGAAAAAAGTAGATGGGTTACAGTCAGGGGACAGAAAGGGAACAAGCAGACAGTGCAGGGATCCCCTGTGGCTGTTCCCCTCAAAAACAAGTATACCGTTTTGGATACTGTTGGGGGTGGGGGGGACTTAACCAGGGGTAAGCCATGGGGTACAGGTGTCTGGCACAGAGTCTGTCCCTGTTGCTCAGAAGGGAAGTGGGGAGAGGAGGAGAGCATTAGTCATTGGGGACTCCATAGTTAGGGGGACAGATAGGAGATTCTGTGGGAACAAAAGAGACTCGCGATTGGTGTGTTTCCTCCCAGGTGCCGGGGTCCGTGATGTCTCGGATTGTGTTTTCGGGATCCTTAAAGGGGAGGGGGAGCAGCCCCAAGTTGTGGTGCACATAGGTAGGAAAAGGGATGGGGACGTAAGGCAGAAATTCAAGGAGCTAGGGTGGAAGCTTAGAGCTAGAACAAACAGTTGTTATCTCTGGTTTGTTACCCGTGTCACGTGCTAGCGAGGCGAGGAATAGGGAGAGAGAGCAGTTGAACACGTGGCTACAGGGATGGTGCAGGAGGGAGGGATTCAGATACCTGGATAATTGGGGCTCATTCTGGGGTAGGTGGGACCTCTACAAACGGGATGGTCTACACCTGAACCAGAGGGGTACCAATATCCTGGGGGGGAAATTTGCTAATGCTCTTCGGGAGGGTTTAAACTAATTCAGCAGGGGGATGGGAAGCTGAATTGTAGCTCCTGTGTACAGGAGGTTGAGAGTAGTGAGGTCATGAATAAGGTTTCAAGGTCGCAGGAGTGTACCGGCAGGCAGGAAGGTGGTTTGAAGTGTGTCTGCTTCAATGCCAGGAGCAGAATAAGGTGGGTGAACTTGCAGCATGGGTTGGTACCTGGGACTTCGATGTTGTGGCCATTTTGGAGACATGGATAGAGCAGGGACAGGAATGGTTGTTGCAGGTTCCGGGGTTTAGATGTTTCAGTAAGATCGGGGGAGGTGTGGCATTGTTAGTCAAGGACAGTATTACGGTGGCAGAAAGGACGTTTTGATGAGGACTCGTCTACTGAGGTAGTGTGGGCTGAGGTTAGAACCAGGAAAGGAGAGGTCACCCTGTTGGGAGTTTTCTGTAGGCCTCCGAAAAGTTCCAGAGATGTAGAGGAAAAGATTGCAAAGATGATTCTGGATAGGAGCGAAAGTAACCGGGTAGTTGTTATGGGGGACTTTAACTTTCCAAATATTGACTGGAAACGCTATAGTTCGAGTACTTCAGATGGGTCAGTTTTTGTCCGATGTGTGCAGGAGGGTTTCCTGACACAGTATGTAGATAGGCCAACAAGAGGCGAGGCCACATTGGATTTGGTACTGGGTAATGAACCAGGCCAGGTGTTAGATTTGGAGGTAGGTGAGCACTTTGGTGATAGTGACCACAGTTCGGTTACGTTTACTTTAGCGATGGAAAGGGATAGGTATATACCGCAGGGCAAGAGTTATAGCTGGGGGAAAGGCAATTATGAGGCGATGAGGCAAGATTTAGGATGCATAGGATGGAGAAGGAAACTGCAGGGGCTGGGCACAATTGAAATGTGGAGCTTGTTCAAGGAACAGCTACTGCGTGTCCTTGAGAAGTATGTACCTGTCAGGCAGGGAGGAAGTGGTCGAGCGAGGGAACCGTGGTTTACTAAAGAAGTTGAATCTCTTGTCAAGAGGAAGATGGAGGCTTATGTAGAGATGAGGCGTGAAGGCTCAGTTCGGGCGCTTGAGAGTTACAAGTTAGCCAGGAACGACCTAAAGAGAGTGCTAAGAAGAGCCAGGAGGGGACATGAGAAGTCTTTAGAGGGTAGGATCAAGGAAAACCCTAAAGCCTTCTATAGGTATGTCAGGAATAAAAGAATGACGAGAGTAAGATTAGGGCCGGTCAAGGACAGTAGTGGGAAGTTGTGCGTGGAGTCCGAAGAGATAGGAGAGGCGCTAAATGAATATTTTTCGTCAGTATTCACACAGGAAAAAGACAATGTTGTCAAGGAGAATACTGAGATACAGGCTATTAGACTAGACGGGATTGAGGTTCATAAGGAGGAGGTGTTAGCAATTCTGGAAGGTGTGAAAATAGATAAGTCCCCTGGGCCGGATGGGATTTATCCTAGGATTCTCTGGGAAGCTAGAGAGGAGATTGCAGAGCCTTTGGCTTTGATCTTT